AAGAAGGCAGAAGTAGTCAAAACAGAATCGGCTAAGCCAGCAGAAGACGAAGAGATTGACATTGACCTAGAAGACCCTGAAGTTGCCAAAGCTGCCACAAAAATCCAAGCTTCATTTCGTGGACACAAAGCCAGGAAAGACACTAAAGATGAAGTTGCCGAGAAGGCAGAAAAAGCCAAAACAGAATCAGCTAAGCCAGCAGAAGAGGAAGAAATTGACATTGACCTGGAAGACCCTGAAGTTGCCAAAGCTGCCACAAAAATCCAAGCTTCATTCCGCGGACACAAAGCCAGGAAAGACACTAAAGATGAAGTTGTCAAGAAGGCAGAAGAAGCCAAAACAGAATCAGCTAAGCCAGCAGAAGCAAGGAAAGATGCCAAAAGTGAAGAAGAAACAAAAGCAGAAAAGATTAAAGCTTCAATTGAACTTGACGACCGAGAAGGAGATGGGGAACCTGTGTTTGTGAAAGGTCTGAAAGATACACAAGTCAATGATGGGGATCAGCTTGTTTTGGAAGTTGAACTCAAAGGTATGTGTAGTAACCACCCAGTGCAATATTTATTAAATGTTTTATATTTGCTCAATACCTCTGTTGTTAATTATACTAAAACTAACCCATTACTGTGTTTGACTTTTGATAAAGATCACAAGTTTTGAAATTACATTGTTCATATACTTGTTTGGTAGTCATATTTTTACATGTTTGATAAACCAAAGGATTATTGCAACACTTGAATAATGACCAGTCACCCGATAGCAGCTGGCAAACTAAAATAAAAAAGTTAGTTGGATTTCTATAATTATTATGTCCATCAAATCACGTGCCCTATAACAACAACCCAGACAACAGTCTAGACATCAATACCAAAATAGTTGTATTACGTGAGTATACTAGATTGCTTTCTGACCTTACAGTCTGCCCCAAGGTATCAGGTTAAAATTGCATTTTTTACAAATTACGCAAACTAATTGCTTTTATATATGGTTTGGTAACCATGATTACTTCACAAAATTACAAACCTGTACTGAAGCATGCCTATTCTGTGACAGGTTGATTAAATGTACCTTAGACTCTTTGAAAGCCATCATTTGTGTCACTAAAATGTTTGTGCAACTTTTTGTCTATTGTATGTATTTTTCCACATTTCCTTAGTTGATTTTGGATCAAATGGACATAATAACTCCTTATTGCCTACAGTTTAACATTTTGGGGGAAATTTGTGTTTATATGGTAAAATGTGACTAATTTTGTCACTCAAATGGTTAAATCTGCTTCCAGCCAGCTACCCACAATGCATTCTGCTTCAGGGTTTGTTTGTTTTTCTTTTGGCAATGAATGAAAATAAATCAATAAAAGTAATATGTGATGAGTACAATAAAATAAAATTCCACCATGGTTCACTATTATTAACTATATCTGCTATGAATATTTTGCCAATATAAAATTTTGCGACTTGATACACTGAGGTCATTTCAATGATTTGTGAGGATAAAGTGTAATAAAATGGAATTTTCACTGCTCTAAATTTTTTTTTTAAATCATTCAAAATTAAAGCAGTTGAGAGAATATATATGTTTTGCATGTTACAACTGTTTTCTAACACTACCTAACTAGGTGCACAACCGATGGATGTTGGTTGGTTACATGGCACTGAGGACGTGGAAGATTGTGAAGATTTCCGTTATGTTAATAAGGGCAATGTGTATCAGTTAGTCTTTGCTGAAATATTCCCTGATGATGCTGGGACGTATACGTGTGAGGCCCTCAATGATCTCGGAGAGGCTGAAACATCTGCCACTATTACTGTCGTTGGTCAGTACAATTGTAGAAAAGCATAAACTTTGCAACCCACCTTCCACTGCTCCTGCGCTTTCTCATGTAATAAGACCTCTATAGCTTTTCTTGGTTCAATACCTGTTGTAATGTCACCTTAGTGCTCTGCTTATCAATATGTAGTTTGAAGTTGTACAATCAAATTTTCAAAATAGCTGCCAGGAAACACCATCGCTATGGTGATTTGAGGTGCAATGAATATTTATAGATTGTACAACTTGTATTTAGCTGTCTCCTTGGAAGGTTACCCACTGCTTGTCTTTCTCTTCAGTGTAATTATCTTTGTTCTGCTTTTGCTTATATCAACCCTTTCACTGTCTATACCATATTGGTAATGGAAAATACTATATTACCTTCAATTTTCATTTTTGACCAATTCGAATTAAAATTTGGAGATTTTGATGATTTATTTTATATATGATCAATAACAAATTTTGTGCTGAAATTAAGTTTTTATAAAAAAAAAAGGTAAATGGCAGTAAAAGGGTAATACTTTTTGCTTGATTTCAGTAAAGGTTGAAATTGATTGTGATATTGCTTATAAAAATGTCTGTGTAGAATAGCAGTAGTGTCGTCATAATTGTGCATACAGTTCGACCCAACACAAATGAAAATAATTAGTGGTTATCACTGAACAATGTTGATTAAAATCATTTCCAGTTATGACAACACTGTCTCTGTAAAATAGTGTTAAATACTTTGGTTGTCACTTATCACTGTAGAATTGTGAAAGCTGCTTTATGAATAAAGGTTCAATCCATTCTCCTCACCATATGTGAATAAAATGAACTTATTAGATCACCAAATATCACTTGCTCACAACACTTCTAAGTTCACTTACTTGTACTTGTAGCTACTGTTGCTTAATGATGAATTTATCCCTTATTGATCTTGGCTCTAGGATTCAATTCAGATTCTAAGGTCAATTTGGGTTAATTGAACACCAATTGCATCAAGGGTAGCAAATTAAGTTGTTGTTGGTCAATAGTCTGCACAACACTTTGGAAACTGGGTTCACAATCTGCTCACTGGGTTTACAATCTCCTCACTGGGTTCACTATATCTTCACTAAGAAGTAATCTATTCACTAAACTGGCCAATGTACAGGTAAAGTATAAATTACAAAAATCAGCTAATCAAAATCAGTTGCAGTATTTGCCCAAGTGATGTATGGTAACGATTTAACTGTGATCAGCAATCATTATATTGACTGAAAAGGACTCCCTAAAATGTTAGTTAAGTGTTGACTCTTTGTCTCAAAAATGTTACAAAAACCTCCATGCTTATTTCATAGTACTTAGGGAGTCCTTTTGTTTCAAATATGATATTTTCACATCTAATTTCTCGACTAAATATCAACTTTTCCTTGTATTTTAGAACCAAAGGATGACAAGATCACTGTTAAAAGTAGTATTTCTGCAGATGAAGAAGACTATTTCTCACCAGAATTTCTTGAAACCCCTAAATCACTGACTGTAGAAGAAGGTCAAGCTGCCGTTTTCACAGCTGAAGTTGATGGTGAACCAGTTCCAACAGGTTAGTAACTCACTTACTTTGATAAAATCTTCTATGCATCTTCAATATTTGTTGATGGCTATAATACAAATTTATTCACATTATGGTTTACATTATCTTTCTTGTGTCACATATGTATGTATTGAAAACTGAATATTTTGTTTTTTCAGTTCAATGGAGCAAAGATGGACAAGCAGTTTCTGATGGTGGACGAATAAAACTTAAAAGTACACAGTTTCTGCATACTTTAGAAATTCCAATGGCTTTGTCACCAGATTCAGGCATTTATACATGCACTGTACTCAATAGCAAAGGAAAGTGTCAAAGTGAATTTGAATTGAAAGTTACACAAGAGGACATTGATGCTGACAAGGTTACACAAGTCTTGAAAGCCAGGTAAGTTATCACTCCTAGATTTTGAAGTTGGCCATGGATAATTAAAACACACACACACACACACAGCAAAAGTAATCTCTTCGTTCAACATTCACCCTCCTGAACGAAAGTTTGCTAGTTCGAAAAAAATGGAACAAACATTAAAACTCCATTAATAAATCCATACCAATTACCAACTTGAACTAGTCCTTGATGGCCAATTAATACCATGTTTTATTGCAGTGAGGCGAGTGGACAAGAGATACCAACGGGTGGTACAACGAAGGAGGAGACAAGGTTGGCTAATTGTAGCATAACCATATATGTTTGCATGCATGCAATAGGTCGTTTGTGCATGACCTCTAAGGTTACACATCCTGGTACTTTTTTTGGATGTTGTTGTCTAATAACAGCAAAAGTCTCTAATATTGTATCTCCATTTTTGTCATGTTTAACTGATTTTGAACAACTGTTTGCATTTCTGGGGTAAATCATCAAAAAAACATTAATAGTGAATTTGTATCCTAAAAAAATACCAGGATGTATGACCTTTTAGGGGTCATTAATGCCAGTTGTATTGTGATACTGTTTCTGTGTCCATTCCATCCATTCAATGCAGACTAAAGCGGTTGAAATATTAACTCACTGTTTCATTTAGTGTGACGTAGCTATATGGTTTGTTGAAGAGATTGCTACTAATTATAGCTTTAGTTCAATTGTATCTTTGTAGATTTATTCTAGTCCAGTAATCTAGACTACAGTTTGTTTGTTCGTGTTTTCATTCCTCAACTCACACTAAATCTTAGTGCAACAATTATGTCCAATCCCAAAAATTTCCCTAGTGAATGCAAACTATTACCAATCAGTACAATCATATAAATGTCTGAATTCCCTGGTCTTAGTACACTCAATTATGTTGAGACAGGTAGTCTGTGTTATAAAGCGTGCTTTGATTGGGTGATACATGCCAATTCTGTGTATAATTCTGGCTCTCAGACAATCAAAGTGTTTCATTATCTCCAAACCCTGGTTACCTTTACCTGTCCTTTATAAAGATTCTTTGAATGGGTAATACAGGCCACTCCCCAGTACAGTTCTGCTTCTCAGTATAGGTGTATCATTTTCCCCAACACCCTAATGAAAGTCCTCCTTGAGTTACCCTTTGGCTCAATACAACTATTAAAATCGTATGTTTTGGTTTCTAGGTGTATGCATGTGTAATGTTTTGTTTACATATTGTGTTTTTGAAAATACCCTTCCCATAAACGAACCTCTCTTTTGTATGTCAGTAACATTGTTAATTCATCTATCATTACATTCATTCATTCACAGTGGTCTTGACGTATCAGAGGAGAAGCACCCAGTAGGAGCTATCTCAACTGCTCTCAGGTTGGCCTGATCTCCACCAATTATTTACTAATCTCTGAAAATCCTTGTTGCCACTCTTGCACTGATTCTGATAGTTAGTTCCTGCGAGTTGCAAACTACCACAAATCCTTCTCTTCAATAGCACCAACTAGTTGAATCTCCTCATCCTTCCCTTATTCTGAATGACTCAATAGCACCAACTAGTTGAATCTCCTCATCCTTCCCTTATTCTGAATGACTCAATAGCACCAACTAGTTGAATCTCCTCATCCTTCCCTTATTCTGAATGACTCAATAGCACCAACTAGTTGAATCTCCTCATCCTTCCCTTATTCTGAATGACTCAATAGCACCAACTAGTTGAATCTCCTCATCCTTCCCTTATTCTGAATGACTCAATAGCACCAACTAGTTGAATCTCCTCATCCTTCCCTTATTCTGAATGACTCAATAGCACCAACTAGTTGAATCTCCTCTCCTTCCCTTATTCTGAATGACTCAATAGCACCAACTAGTTGAATCTCCTCATCTTTCCCTTATTCTGAATGACTCAATAGCACCAACTAGTTGAATCTCCTCATCATTCCCTTATTCTGAATGACTCAATAGCACCAACTAGTTGAATCTCCTCATCTTTCCCTTATTCTGAATGACTCAATAGCACCAACTAGTTGAATCTCCTCATCCTTCCCTTATTCTGAATGACTCAATAGCACCAACTAGCTGAATCTCCTTATCCTTCCCTTATTCTGAATGACTCAATAGCACCAACTAGTTGAATCTCCTCATCCTTCCCTTATTCTGAATGACTCAATAGCACCAACTAGCTGAATCTCCTCATCCTTCCCTTATTCTGAATGACTCAATAGCACCAACTAGCTGAATCTCCTTATCCTTCCCTTATTCTGAATGACAATCAACTTAAGTGGCATTGTTGAATTTGTTACCACAAGTTACTTGTCATTAAACAAATCCCATTCATTACATCTGCTAATTATGAGAAGTTTGTTTAATTTTCATGAAAATGTTGCATATTATATTTATATTCAATAAGAATACTGTTCATTATGTCCAACATTATTTTGATAAAAAACTGATGAGAATTTTTGTACAGAAACTTTGGTGGGATTGTCTGTGTGTTTTGCACTTTACTACAAAGATAGATGCACTACTTATCTTGCTCTTTGTGAATCACTTGAAGAAATCTAGTTCTTTTCAATAGAACAAAATCTTGTGTGTTCACTATCTCCAAATCTCCAATACTATTAGTTTGTTTGTATAGATGATTGTACCCTGAAAAAAAATTGAATACAATTACGGCTTGAACTTCGGCATTCTGAGAGCATTCAATTTCAAATTCATTATTTCTAAAAATGCCTGAAATAAGTGAATATTGCAGTACATCTCATGGCCACCATCAGGCTTGCAGTCAGTCGCCTGTCATTTTAGAGAAAAATTTAATTTGACAGGCTAAATCTTTACAAACCTGTCTAATTGTCATTGAAAATTAACTGTAAATTACAAAATGAATAATCATCAAAAAATAGACTATAAGTCGATCATCAACTGCTATTTTTAGACAGGCACTTTCAATTTCAACATAGCTTGAGATCTAAATATAAATGTTTCCCTTTTTTTTCTTGCCTTATATTTTTAGGGTGCAATCAGCTTTACACCATCGCAATAATTTGTTGCACAATAATTTCTGTTGATTGATGATTTGTGTTGCACAAAACTCACCAAATACAAAATATATTAAAGCGAGAGGATCGTCACCTGCACACGCACGGGAATTGCATCCCAAGCAACGATAACATCACACGCTAAAAATGCATACGCATACGCAGGTGACAACTCTCTCGCTTAAATAGTTGGACTATAACCAAATACAGTTCAACAAAAGGGTCAACACTAGACTTATAACATTTATATAACAAACTTTATTGTTCTGTTCTCTATATTTAACAGTAAACTTGATCCTGATGCAGTGACTGCTAGCGTTGATGGTCTTGAACAGCTTGATTTTCGTGGTTTATTGAAACAATCAGAAGAAGGTACCAGCTGAGAAGTGAAGTTGTTGCCCCAACCATTACAAAGCAGCTTACAAACCAGGTAAGAAAAAAAGAAAATGCACACAGAAAAAAAACATATGTTGACTTGATAAGCCCAATTTGAACCTCAATGCAAGAACTACACATGTATTGCTTAGAAAAACCATGGGCATATTTGGACCCTGGTTGGTTAATAGAGTCAGTGATTTATTTGCCTTTACTGGATTCAGGGATAATAAAGTATTAACTATGTTAATTAGTTAAGGACTGTGTTATGCATTACCTTTATTATTACCTTTCTCATAATGATAGTAAATCTAGAATAGATATTCAATAGTTTCATTGACAAATATTTTTTCATTGGTTTCAAGAGATGGTGACAAAGTGGCTTAAAAATCTTTTTTGGTGTTTAACATAAGTACATATACAACTTGAATTGAAGGACCCGTGTTCATTCCCTGTTTTGACAGTGAAATTTGTTTATTTTCTTCGTAGGTTGTGAAAGAAGGTAACAGTGCAGTTTTCAGCTGTAATTTGACAGGTGATCCTCAACCTGAAGTGACATGGTACAAAGACGACAAACTAATCAAGCAGTCAAGATATTTTGATATGGTAGTAGAGGAGAGTGTTTGCAAACTAACAATTGCAGAGGCATTTCCTGAGGATGCCGGTCAATACCGGTGTAATGTGACCAATGTTGGTGGTGATGCTAATACACTGGCCTATTTACAAGTCACTGGTAAGTCATTATTGATAATATTGCCCTGCATTGAGGTCAATATGATGTGATATTGACCTGATATTATATAATGCATATTGCATTGTGGTCAATACATTGCTGCATTGACTTAAGGTGTGTACCATTTAGAATCATGGGGAGGAATTGAAAGATACATAGAAAAAAGGTTTTGAATAATACAATAACAAAATTCAGCCACAGTGATAGACCATATATTCAGACTCTCAAATGAAAATAAAAACTAATATGTCATAGTGAAAATAACACTATTTTGCACCACCCCACCAAGATTTATATTGGTCAACCCCTTAATGCTTCAAGTTTTCCCTGCAGCGTCTTATAATGACTTTGTTTATACTTTGCATACCTCTTCAATACTTATTAATTTTACCAAGGCTTGGTTCTATATTGTATTATATCCAGAAAACTTACCATTAACCATTATTATGTTTATTTTTTATTAGTCTTTATTTCTATCCAGCATTGTACTTTTCTGTCTCTCCAATCTCTTGTTTTGAGTAAATAAACAACTGGCAAACAAACCAGTGCCAAATATGGACAACTAATGGTGGTCGGTGTAATTTCTTGCATACCCAATGCATGCTCATCTATGTTTTTTCTGTAGTTGGAAATCTAGTTTTTCTAATGAGTGTGTTTAACCATGGAGTTTACCATCGCTAACAAATGAATGGAAAAAAAGTTTCAGCATGAGTTTTCCTGATTTTAACTTTTTATATAAATACTGAATTGTAACTAAAAAAGATATCTGAAATGCTTGCTACAATGTATAAGATGGTGATGTGTTATTAGTATATATACTGTAAATCATTTAATTTTCACTGCTAGAAATTCAAATGTTCACGATTTAATGATGTTATGGCATTCACAAAGTCACTGAGACTCTGTGTGCAAGACCCCAGATAAATTTTCACTGTTCTGAGTTTGCGAGATATTTAAGGAACGTGTTTTATCGTGTGGCATTCATGATGACAATATTTTGTGACAGTCACTGAGACTCAATGTTGTGAGACCCCAGAGAGATTTTCACTGCTACAAATGTTTCTGATTTTCACTCACAAAATTTGCGAAAATTACGGTAGTCTCTTTCAAAATTAAAGTGGTTTACAGTATTTGACATGAATATAGTGTAATGTATGGTGTTTTTATTGTCTTGTCTATATTTAAATCTATGCCATATCTCATTTTCTGACCATAGCATGTTTATTGTTGTTGTGTTTTTACCTGAACCATTGGCATTCTTTGTCATTTTTTTCCTAAACTTTGCATGTACCAACCATTCATTTAGCACTAACCAGATCAAAGTCAAATATTCAACATATTTTATCTTGAGTTCCTCTTATTTGGAAGTAGACTAGGGGGTGTTTCTCAAGTGGACTCTTTAGGTGGGTGAGATATTGAACCAGAGCTGCTTATGCTATCTTGGATTCCTCAAATTTGGAACTAGACTAGGGGCGTTTCTCAAGTGAACCCCTCAAGTGGGTGAAATATTGAACTACAGCTGCTCATATTATCTTGAATTCCTCTAATTTGAACTGGAGGTTTGATTAGAATGGACCACTCATGTCTTGGAATATTGAGTGTGTTCTGATCCATAGTTAGTATCAGTATTTGACTTTGAACCTGATAAATTTAACACATATTCTATAATAATCATTTTTGATCAGCTGATGATGCAGGAAGTACTGCAAATCTGGACAAAACAGGTGAGGTTATAATTTGTCTTGAACTGCATGCATCAAAGCAAGCAAATGCACGCTGTACAAAGCTATACCAGTTCCATCTGCTACAAGCCAGTGTGTGCTTAAAAGCAGCTGATCTATACATTGCCAAACCTATCTGTGTTTTACCCCATCCATTCATTATACCCTTCTACCCATCCATTCTTCATTTTCTTGTTTCTCATTTCTACTTTCTTGAAAATGAAATTGCTTTGCCACAAGTGTTCCAAGACGAATTCTCTTTTATTTTGAGTAACAGAATTATCTACCCTTTTGGGGACAGCAGAGTCAGCTTTGATAAATTCTAGCCACCTGTTTTTATTACATCTATAGGCAATGGTAAATTATCATTTATTTCAAAATTAACCATTAAATTAAAAAAAGTTCATAGAAATGTGCAAAATGTTAATATATTTGAAATTACAAATAGATTGCAACAACATTTTTTATTTCGGTCAGTCCTATTATAAACAGAACATTTTGTTTCAACATTCCAAAAAAATATATATATGGAAAGAATTACTATACTAGCATATATTTTTGACCACAAGACATGGATAAAGATCATTTATAGTTTACATAGCTATGTGTACTGTTTTTTTTTTCATTTTCAATTATTGCACAAACCCCTGTTATTCAATTAGTGTTTGTCCATGCTTTTATGTATATCATGTTACCATGGGAACTACCATAGCTAGGACCAATATTCCAGTGTTCTGCCTGCAGACCTTTCGGATATGTCTTCAACAAAACATGTTTTCAATGTAAAGTTTGGTATAAAAATATAATTAACACTTGAAATGCAGAGTCAACAGAGAGAAAAAATTATTTGTCCTACCAATAGAATGATGGCATGATGTATACTGGCCTAGGTTGTATTTTGTCTAGGATCTGATCATATCATCCCCAGTTTGTCTGGCTGGTATGACCTAGGTCATATCATCCCCAGTTTGTCTGGCTGGTATGACCTAGGTCATATCATCCCCAGCATGTCTGCCAGATCTGATCAGATCATCCTCAGCTTGACTGGCTGATATTAACTAGATCCTTTCATTCCCAGCTTGTTTGTCGGGTCGGGTCAGGTCGGGTCGGGTCTGATCTGATCATCCTTAGCTTATCAGGTTGATATGACCTAGGTAATATCTTCTTCTGCTTGTTTGGCAGATATGACCTGGGTTATATTATCCTTTGCTTGTCTGGCTGATATGACAATTAGCTATGATGTTACTCATCCAATCCAATGCTAATACGCTTAGTGACTTTTCCCCTGCAGGTTTTCTTGCTGGTATTGCCCTTGTGTGTCATTCCAACTAATTACTGCGTGTGATTGAACTGTCAACTAACTTTGTGTTTCAAACTATGAGATACAAATGATGTGCTCAACAAAGAGCAGCTAGTATGCAGCTTTTCAGCTATGTAGAATCCCTCACCTAGCCAGGAAGAAAGATGTGAGACTATAGTGATAAAGTGACACTTTGTATGCCACTTGTGAGAATTCACTGAGCTATGTTGATTCTTACTAATTAAATTGATGACATAAATGGCTTGAGTACAAAATTACTGATAAGAATCTCACAACCTGGTTTAATTCTCAGTGGCAACAACTTTTACCAACTGACTGCAAAAAAGTGACACTTTTTATTGTGCTCTCATTCTTTCTTCACATTGCTCTGAACTCATCTTGGGTTCCTACCTGTAAGCTTTCTGCTTGCATGTGTTTTCACCATACATGGCCTGTGATGTCAGTCAAGAATTTTTGTTTTAAAAATTGTGCTAGCTTTGCTGAATCCCAAGTGTCTCAAATCCTTGCTAGATTATCACTTGCTTGTCAATTTTTGTTTCCAAACAAAAAGTACTTAATAACAAGTTGCAGCTGTCATCTGCAATTGATCCTTCTCATAATCCACCGTTAATCCAGCAGATGTTTGCATGAATCTTTTTCACTCGTTAACATTCAGTCTTACTAATATCACTTTTTCCATCCAATCACAGATGCTGATGAACCAGATCTTAAAGTACAGCTGTCTAAAAAAGATATTGACATTGATTTGAAAGATCCTGAAGTTGCCGCTGCAGCCAAAAAAATCCAAGCAGCATTTCGGGGCCATAAAACCAAAAATAAACAGCTTCTGCCTCCAAAATTTTTAAAGGAACTGAAAGATGTTGAAGTTTGTGTTGACAGTGCTGTTAGCCTTGATTGCCAGATCATAGGTGATCCGGAACCAGATATTATATGGTACAAGGATGAGGAAGAGATACATGAGAGTGAACATATTTATTTCGAGTTTAGTGATGATAATTTTGTGTCGCTGATTATTACATCTGTTGAGGAAGATGATGATGGGACATACACATGTGAAGCTACAAATTCAGTCGGTGCTGCCTCCTCAATAGCAGACATTTTTGTGGAAGGTGAGTTGTTATTTGGATCACCAGTAGCATATGGGTTATTGTTCGTGATTGGTTGGTGCAGATCCTACGTGTAGTTTAACATCAAATTGCTAATCTGTACCTGTGGGTTTACCACATATGCCATTGGATGTGCAAACATACTCCTGTTTTGGTGAAGCTTGAATATAAGATCCACAGGTGATAGTGAGATGATCTACATATGATGAGCAGTATAATATAATATAATATAATATAATAT